ATATAATGGCTATCAAAATATATAATCATTTGCCAAATAACCTAAAAGAAGTGCCTAATGCAAAATTCAAATTATTATTAAAAAAATGGCTACTTGCAAATGCTTTCTATAATATGAATGAATTCTTTGCTCTTTGACATTTTTTTTTACATTGACATTATAAATAATTTAATTAATATATAAGATGATAATTAATATGTTCTAATGGTGATCATGAGTTAGTTTGTGACTGTTGATTGACATGTTTTATTTTATTTACAATTTTATTGACACTTTTAATATATGACTGTAAAATAATTAATGTTTTGTAATTAATCGTATTGTATGCCCGATGTATGGGTAGGCTGTTTTCCTTTGAGACGTTAATAACATCTTACGAAAAATTGTAACATACAGCTCACAATAAATTTATTCTATTCTATTCTATTCTATTCCTTTTTTGAAGTCGGTTGAAAATTTACCCGGCAGGTGGCGGTAAGAAGCAAAACATATACTTAGAATCATATTGATTTATTTATATGACATATAAATATGTATACAGTAACCCTCTGTTATAAATACGATGATATGTTTGATGCAATTAAAAAAGTTTTTTTTAATACAACTTAAAGCTGTAAAAAAACAGCTTATAAAAAATCGTAACTGTCACCTCAAAACGTGCCTCAAAACGAACAGCACCATAGACGTAACAAATATGTTACTTCTTTGTCGTAACCTACTCTTCAAACTGACGTCATTGGACTGAGATACCCATGAAGATGACTTCTATACAAAATCTCCTTCTGGTGATAATTTACCATAAGTTTGCCATGTAAAAAAAGAAACAAATAATATACCAAAACACTTTTAGAATAAAATAAATGCTAGTTTCTTTTTAATAAGTTTTATTTCGTATAAATCACGTTCTTTGTCATCATATTTCAAATGGAGTCTTATATGTGAAATTGCACGTCCTTTCAGAAAATCCCAAACCGCTTAGCGAAATATGAAACTATTCTCAAAGATTGACAACGTAACGTTATCAGAAAAAAAGGTTATTTATATTGTATTTGTAGAGATGTCGATATTCCTAGATAAAGGATCAACATTAAATACATATAGAAATAAAGAAATAAAACATTTATGGCCAATACTTGATGCTAAGCTCAAGGTGACACTCTTAGAGTTAAAAAAATCCAATGAATTAAATAAGGCCTTATTACAGGAACGAGATGAAAGTGAGATTGAAATTAAGTTGATGTCTGATAAATATGTGGCTCTGAAGAATGACCTAGTGAAGAAAAAAACAAAATGTGTTAATTTCTCTCTATCTAAAAGTTTTAATACTAATTGCAATATTAAATTAAATGACGAATCTCTCGAATTTATAGAATCTACTGTCTTTCTAGGAATCACACTAGATAATAAAACACAATGGGGTGCACAAATTCAAAGCCTTGCAGCGAAACTAAGTTCAGCAGCTTTTGCCGTGCGTAAAGTTAGACAGTACACTGATACTGATACTGCTAGATTAGTCTATTTTAGTTATTTTCATAGTTTACTCTCTTATGGAATATTACTATGGGGAAAAGCGGCAGATATTAAGAATATATTCATATTACAAAAACGTGCCGTTCGAGCGATCTACTGTATGAAGAGTCGTGACTCATTAAGAGAGAAATTCAAAGAGGCAAATATTCTCACCGTTGCTTCTCAATTTATATATTCAAATATTCTATATGTTCATAAAAATCTTGACTTATTTCCAAAAAACAGCAATATTCATAATATTAATACTAGATTTAAAGACAAACTTGCTGTCCCCAAGTATCGTTTAGAAAAAGTTAATAGGTCTTTTATGGGAATAGGTATAAAAATTTACAATAAGATACCAAAGGATATGTTGGAATTACCCTTAAATAAATTCAAAACATCTGTTAAATCATATTTACTGAGCAAAGCCTATTACTCACTAAACGATTACTTGAATGACGAGTGTGCATGGCAATAGTTGTTCATACACTGAATTTTCATTTAATGTTAGACATAGACACCTATATAAATATACATTGACTGGCTTTTAATTCAATTGATTTGAATTTGATCTATATTGAATTTGAAAATATAAAATTATAATGTAAAAATTTGAATTAAAATGTCCTACATGAATAAATGATTTTTGAATTTGAATTTGAATTTGAATTTGAATTTGAATAACAAAGAGTTACATTAATTATCAATAGAAAACAAATTTTACATTTGTTATTGCCAACGTGGTTGCTACTCAGCATGTGCTACAGCGAATTAATTACTTCAGCGGTGCCACAGAACATGTGGTGGCCAGCCTCTTTCAATACGACCTAATGATAATAAAGAAATAATACAAGAGGGAGTACAAATGTCGTTTGCTTTGGCACCTCTGTACCATTCGTGCCATGGTACTGCTCATGTCTATAGGCGACGGTTGCCACTTTCCATCAGGTGGGCCGTCAGCTTATTTGCCATTCTAAGTTGTATAAAAATAAAAAAAAGAATTGAGGACCGATAGATGGCAGATGTTACCAGTTCGGAGGCCTAAATACTCATTTGTTGCAGTATCTGGCCGTTCGTTTGCCTTCTTCGTGAGCCTTAAATATTGCACCTAAATTACTATTGAATAAACCATGCACCCTCTTCTATAGGCATTCCGTCACTCGTATCTAATAACGAAGACGGGATGCCTTAAATACTGTACCGCGAACCATAAAAAAAGAAAGAAAATACTGCCCACTGCTGAACATAAGCCTCTCGCTAGGGGGGTTTTGCCAGTAGTTGCCAAACTTAGCAGGTGCATTAGCAACCGTAATTAGGTTTTAGAGATGTATCAAGAGGGACGTTGCTGCCCATCCCTCGCCCTCCTTACTCGCCACTTATGACACCCACGGGAAAGGAAGGTGTGGCCTATTCTATGCCAGGACTACACGAGCATATATTTCTATACACATATATACATTTTATATGCATATTCATATTTTATATATCTATATACATATATATGTAGGTACATACTTATTTAATTAATTGTTTGTTTCCCAAATAAAATAAAATAAAAATACCTCCAACACTCGATAGTAAAGCATTCGAAACATGAAATTTGATTTTAAAACATGAAAAAATTATTTTATCATAATTTTATTATGTGGCCGACATAATAAAATTATTATGATAAAATCAACTTTTACGAAGAACAGGTACAAGTGTTCTTACATACAACAATAGCATTATGTTAGGATTACTATCAGAAGTGCTCGTAAGCTTATATTATTATATAATAAACGTAATAGAATATTCTATTAATGCACAGTACTTATTAAGGTTTTCTTAAAACTAAGGCCAATAAAAACTTATCATCTTTAAATGACAAACACAGTAAGTCAACAAAATCCTTTCAATGGGGGAAAGGGATTGTTAGTAATGGAGACTGCCCATTGCTAACAATACACCCTGTCAGGTTGACCTCCACGCGGTTCCCCCTGGAAACCATCGTGGTTATTTCTAGTGGAATTCATCACGATGGGCTAACTGATCTGCTTTCATTCTCATCTATAATCCCTTACTGGTGCTCCGCTAACGTATACCGAAAGCGCAGGCGGGGTTATCATTCCATTATCACCCATTAAAAAAATCTAATTATAAAAATAACAAGACTGTTCCCTATGGCAGTCTATGAGGGAAACCTATGTCCAGCAGTGGACTAACAACGGCTTATATGATGGTATCATAAATAATATCATAAATCTATAATCTAAGCATAAATCATAAAAATAAAAAAGAATATATTTAGCTACGAGGACTAAACAATTGAATTAAATATTGCTAATAAATTTTATATCATAAAAACACCGTTACTTAATATATCGTTAACCAACTATTAGCTACACCACAGGTGTCAATCAATCGGTTGCTATTGGCTCTCAACAATAGCTAATAGCACTTAACTATTTATCTATTTGTAATATACTAATAATCACAATACTATAACAACCTTAAAGACAACTAAATAACTAAGGAATTCTCTTCAGAAATGAAATTAGTATTTTTTTTTTTTAGAAGAAAATCTCCTGCGTATTTTAATTTATTATTTAAATCAAGATTGACAATCTTTTTTCAAATGCGTACATTACATACACACATACACACACACACATAAAATATCCAGCGCACTGAATAAAAAAGATAAGATAATTAGCATTCTTTTAAAAGAGTGTTCTAAACATATAAAAAACAAGCAGGACATTTTCCCTCGCAAAACCTGTTTTAATAAAAGACAAAAAAATTTGAAGAGGCCCCTACTCAAATTGTACGGTGGCCCAAAATTTTTTGTCGTTTTTAAACCCCTGTTTCTTCCTGGAAAATATTGTCCAGCTTAAATAATATTAAACCAGTATCCCCAAAGGTTATTACGCCGAGTAAAAACATATTTTCCTTACTAATGTTCTAAAGAGAAATGTTATTAATTGTTAGATTTTAGTTACGCGAATGATGTCATTATATATATATTATATATATATATATATATATATATATATATATATATATATATATATATATATATATATATATATATATATATATATATATATATATATATATATATATATATGTAATATACATATTTAAAATAAAATATAAAAAATATGATAAAAAATAATAAGAAAATTTACGCAATTTATTACAATAATTAAGTATGCGTTTCAAAATTTCTATAGAAATAGAAAATACGGGATCCTCGTAAGCAAAACTGCAGAGAACTGTTATAGTAACTATATAAAGCCCATATCTAAGTTAAACTCTCTAATTACTTTATCAAAATCTATTTATAAGAGGATTTTATAAGAGGAATCTATAAATTACAATTAACAGTCACAATTAAGACATTAATGAATTTAATACCGCTGTACATTTTCAAACTTAGACACCAGGAAAGGTACTGAATATTAAACATATATACATTGCCGTCAGCCAGTTCAGTGTCAGCGCGAAAGCCTTACGTGACAAACGTCCTTTAAGTGAAAGGGGAAACAAAGTAAATTTCCGCGAAAATTAATTAAGTGGATCATTTGATCGAAAATTCTTAAGACAATAACGACACTGTCATACTCCATTCTTTTATCATAGATTTGTCTTTGGGATTAAAAAGTAATTAAGGCTGTTAAAGTCGTTCTGATATTAATTAAGATAACTTTATAAAAGTACAGAACAATGTACGGATGGTTGCTTGAAAGTGTACAACATTTTGTTGTGGTAAGCGTTTTTTATTAATATTTTCAAAATATATTTAATTTATTTTTATATATAAAAAAAAAACATTATTTGCGACACTGAGGTCGTAACGTGTTACATTCAGTACATTCAATATGGGAACTTATGGTGACTTACAATGTTATTTTTTTGAGTTCCCGTACGTATACCATATAAGTTTCACCAACTTTGTCTGTTCCTCCATCTGTCTCAGCGCCATATTTCGGCAACAACCAACGATATTGGTTTAAAACTTATGAGTAATTTGAGTTATTATTGACCCACTTCTATTTCAACGAAATAAATAAAAAAAATATTGTTTTTTTTTTATTTTTACTTGCTAGAAAATACAACATTTCAAAATGGACATACTAATTCAAATAACGTCTCATATGAAAAGGTATCATTTCCGTATTATTTTTTATTTATATATATTTTTAATTCTTAATTCTTTGTATGTTGAGCAATTTTTATTTATGTTAAAAAATATAAAAAATACCGTCCCCTTTGTCCGAAAACGTTGTAGAAATATTACTACAATTTTTAATTAATACAATTTAGGAGAAATTATCCTAAACCTTACAGAAAAACCTTTACATTTTTAACCAAAGTGAAGAAAATAAAACAGTAATCATAATAATTTGCATTAGATATCTATTTCATATAAAAAATATCATCGTCACATCAGGCGTTAACTGTCCACTGCAGAATTTATTATTTCCCATAAGGGAGGCCCGTAGTTGCCCCGCTTGGCCAGAAGGTTTTTGTTTTTAATGGGTGATAATGGAATGGTAACCCTACCCGCGCTATTGGTATACACCGGCGGGGCACCAATGAGGGATGATAGATGAGGATGAAGCAGGTCAGTTAGCCCATCGTGACGAATTCAACAAGAATTGTTCACGATGGTTTCCAGGGGAAACCACATGGAGGTCGACCTGATAGGCTAGCAATGTCGAACTCCATTGCTAACAATCCCTTCCAATTGGTAATCGCAGTTAGACTTTGGTTATGTTTTAAGAGCGACGCTGCTACCCACCCCTTCACCATTAGTTTCCTTACTCACCTCTTAGGACACACACGGGAAAGAAGGGGTAAAAGAAACATACGAGCCGTAAACATAATTGTGCATATATCAATTTATCGGAGTTCCATAAAGATCGTCGAGGTGAAGGGAATGACCATTACATTTATGATTGCATCAAATTCGACTTTGGAGTAAACAGCGTTGATCCGCAAAGACTTTTCATTTATTTATTTCGTTGTCAAAGGGGGCACGGTCAAAAACTTGTTTAGGAATACCAGGCTGTATTTATAATATTAGTAAGGCATTTAGAAAGTAATGCAGCAGGTTTAGTGCAGATGGCTCAGGACCGTTCCTTATAAGGAATCATTGTCTCATAATCCAATCTATGGGGAAGTAAACAGATAATGTCTAAGATAATAACAAAAGTTTTTTTTTTTTAAATCCTTCATCATCATCTCAACATCTTTTGAAGCAACATAAGTAATATGCGCCTAAGAGCATTAAAAGAATATCGTCTATTCACGTCTCGTAACCCAATTCCCGATACAACTGTTTTCAATATCCGGAAAGCCTTGTCGTTATAAGCAATAATATAGCTGAACTAATGAATTAATTTACGGCCTAAATATTGCGTCGTTGAAGATCTAACTAGAAGTGGGTATATATAACAATGTATTATTGACAAGAGGAGGGTCGATCGTTTAGAAAAGTCTCGATTCCGCAATATCCGGCAGTGGACAGGTACTGTGAGTGCTGCCGAATTATTCCATATCGCAAGAGATAAGGACAGATTCCGTGAGTTGATAGCCAACCTTCACTAGTGGGGGAAGGGATTGTTAGTAATGGGGAGGTTAGGTAACATTGATATCAATATACTTTATCAGGTCGACCTCCACGCGGTTCCCCCTGGAAATTATCGTGGTTAATTCTTGTCGAATTCATCATGGTGGACCAACAGTATATTGTTAGTCATCCCCTCTAAAATCCTTACTAAGAATCCTTTTCGCCTGATCTAGTTCATTATGAGGATGATAGTTCTGAGGACTAAATATTACGCATTCGCATTTTCACTTTCTATTAAAAAACAACACACTGAATAAAACAGCCGATATGTATATACAGATGTCGCGTAGCATGTTAGTCCAACGTCGAGCAGCAAGATTGTCACATTGTTTTATTTTTGTGTTTTTATCGCCAGAGAGTGACAAAAAATTTAAATGATGGACACACAAAGTTTTTTAAAAATGAATATTTATTTATTGGACATAACAGTCTTTATGTTATATGTCGATGATAATGCGTTGCCATTCCTATTATATTTTTCCTCTGTCATGTAAATTCAATGATATCCCACCCTTCAAACCGAAACATATTTAATGGCTTCACGGTAGAAACACGAATGGGACAATATACAATCGACGTTTGTATATTTATGTCTATTGTTAGTAAACATTACATACATATAATATAATATCTATTTATTTTATTTTTATTTGTTTATTAAAAGTCGACCTCAACTGGTGCATAAACCATCACGGTTACATCTTTGTCGTTCGTCATGGTGGACCAACAGATGCATTCATCCCCGCCTATCATCTCTCACTGGTACCCCGTCGGTGTATACCAATAATACAGGTGGGATTACTATTCCATTTTCACCTATTAAAAAACAACACATGTGGTGAATAAAACACTCGATATGCATATACATATTTCGCGTAGCATGTTAGAATCCAACGTCGCAGCAGGCAAGCTTGCCGCCATTACTAGGTTTTATTTATGTGTGTTTTATCGCCAGAGAGTTATTTAAAAATTTAAATTGACGCACAAAGTTTTTTATGAAAATTAATATTTCTTTAGTTTATACGTCTTTATGTTATATGTCGATTGTAATTTAAAATTCCTATTATATTCTTTCTCTCCCGAACATTTGGGAATTGAATAAACGGGAAGGCGGTTAAGAAGTAAATATTTAATGGCATAGATACATTATAACAATATACATGCGTTTATATATTTATTCTATTTTACAAACTTTACATACATATAATATAATATCTATAAGACGGCCCGGGGTATGATAGTAAGATTACGGAGTACTGAAGCATAAATAACACAACATCTTTGTCGTTGGGTGTGGAAGAGTTTACTAGTAAGTTGTTTTTTTTATACAACTTAGAATGGCAAACGAGCTGACGGCCCACCTGATGGAAAGTGGTAACCATGACCTACCAGCTCCATTAATAGCAATATGCCCTGTTAGGTCGACCATTCCGTTGGAAGGATCCTAGAAACCATAGTGTTGAATTCCAGGTAGATAGGCCAATTAATTTACTTTTTCATTCTTACCTATCATCCCACACTAGAGCCCCGCCCGCGAATATCATTAACGCAAGTAGAATTTCCTTAAAAACTTTAAACGCCAGGAATAGCAGCCCACCTTCAACGTCACAGTATATTTATTCTATGATGCCATCGATATATACGACAGACAAAGGATAGTATTATATTATCTGTGACAAAGGTAACCACTTTCGACCAACTGGATTACCATTCAAAGTTCCAATAAAAAAATATAGCTTTCCTCAAATTTTTCCTGAGTCCAAACTCAAGAACATCAGACTTCGGAAAAAAATTTCCCCTAATGAACTGTTCACACTAATAAATTGACAGTAACATGAAGGTAGCACTATCTACATATTCTAATGACAAAACCGATGTGTGTACATAACGTGACTCTACGCAATTAATTTAAAATAATGCGAATGCAAACGTAATAATGTTCTATTTCGTTTGATATCGAAGGGTTCCATATGCGTTTGAAGAACCATTTACGTCATCACCAAAATACTTATATATGCATATTATAAGGAAATATCCAGAACGTAACACGAGTAGTGTTTAATTAACTTCCCTAACACTGCCGGTGAAATAAATATCATACCGCTTTTGTTAGTTTACTTTTAATTAAATGAAAACAATACAAAGTGAAATCTAAATCATTAGTACCCTTTTTAGGAAATATTCTGAAAATGAAATTTAATATTTTTTTCCAAAGAGTCATGAGTTGTAGAAGGAGTGAAAAATTTTGGATCTCGCATACTAATCAAATTTGCATCAGACATTTGTGAAATTTTATATATTACTTACATACGAAATTTTATATTTTACTTGTATAAAATATTATTTATATGATAATAATTTGTTTCTCTACCATTGACTTATAACTGTAACACCTTTCTAACTTAAAAAGTCAAAGAAGAAAAATAAAAAAAGGAATCATTCACTGCATATAATATCACTAATATACTTCTATTTTTACTTAAACGATCATTTCCCTATGATTTATAAACCTATTGGTTCAATTTAACATTTATTTAACGTTGATTTGATTTTACATTTGATACAAAACAATATACCGTTTTTTCTCAGATGTCAAGTTAGTATGGGAGATTCATAATTTTTTTTTCGTTTTTCAAATCATTTTTCTTTTTTTGGGATAATGTTCAAAATCTTTTATACAAAGCTCTTCTAATGTGATTTTAATAAATGTTGATATCCACCTATATAATGTCATAGGTAATAACTTGTAGACTAAACAAGTGATGCGATAAAAAGGGTCGAAATATGCGAATCCAGAACTCCAATGACCGTGAACTTGTTAAAAATAGTCCCTGTACGATAACGAGAACAAGGACCCAAACAAAAACACCCGAATATGTTTACTAAAATGGGTGAATAATATCACCGTGTTCACCTGCAATGAAAGCGACATGAATGATGATGAGGATGATTTCGAATTTCGACACAATTTGCATTTCAACATAATTTGAATTCGTCACTCGTCTTTTCAAACGACTTCAAAAAGGGGTTGGTATACAATACGACTGTATTTTTTATTTTTATATTAGGTACACGTTACAATCGATGGCATTTACTCTCGTGTTGATTCCATATTAATTCAGACTTGATAGAA